ATATATTTTTTTTTTTTTTTCAGGTAAACAGTTCCGGGTGCTGTTCCTCAGCACGGTGCGGACGCGGCATACCTGTAAACACAAGCAGACGGCCATCAAGCGTAAGGAGCAGCTCGTTGAGGACTCAACAGAGGACCTCGACTATGGATTCCTCTCTAACTACAAGCTACTCAACACGGCCATCACCAGAGCCCAGTCCCTGGTTGCAGTTGTGGGAGACCCCATAGCACTGTGCTCTGTTGGGCGCTGCAGGTAAATAAGGACTCCTTTGACTCATGGCCTTTGTAATGTGTAATTTTGCTTGAACACTACAGTAGATATCTTTAGAGCAAGGTTCCCTTTTTCATGGCAGACATTTTGACCTGTCATAATAGGAAAAGTACAGGTATAACTAATAACACCAGCAGTGGCTCTGTTCTATTCAAATCTCCCACCGTGAGTGACAGTGAGCCTGCACGCACAAAACCTGGAACCTGAAATCAAAGTAACTAAATGGAATTCAGTCATTGTTCATTTGATTATTTTAACCTGTGCTTTTCCTACTAGTCCTACTGATACATTTGTGTGAGTCACATGACATGCCGTGGACATCATATACCCAAGAGATTCTATCAAATCACTAGTTGTAGTTTTGACCCGTTTGTTTCGATTGGACGGCTGTATATTTTTCTGTATTTACTAAGCTTTAGGTTGTCAACATGGCTTTATTTACAACAGCTATGAAGGGAAATGACATTGGCTGCCACCCCCCATCTCTATTTAAATCTCTTTAACTCCTTCGCTCTTAGACCCCCATTGCCCACCTCCTATCTCCATAGCAACTGTCGGTTTCGCCTCCATTAGTTGTCATAACATGTCAGGTCTTTTTTTCTGTTGTGGTTGTTACAAATGCAATACTGCAAAGATAGAGTGAGTAAATTGATGTGTCCAGAATGTATGCATTGTTTGAACAACACTGAGCCTCCTCCTGGGAGTGAAAGATCCTGGTCAGTCAGTACAAAGTAGCTTAGGTTTATTTATTTTTTTGGTTATGTGTTTAGTTGCAGTTAGTATTGATCACCATGTTGAAACAGCAAATACCCAGGATTGTTTACTGTTTATACAAAAGGCCTGTTACTCCCACAAGTTAATGATTTGTACCGTGTCCCAACAGCAAGCGAGCACCCAACTATCGCGCCACATAGAGTTACACTGGACGCTCTCTGTCCACACAAAGTCTGTTAAATATGGAACTCTGTTACATCATGTAAACAAACCTCTTACCTATCAGCTGCGTTGCAGTTTGTACTTTCCAAACAGAAATCACACATTTTACATTGTGATATCAACTGGAGATGACATACAGTAACATACATTATAGCCAACAGCGAATATGTTGTTATTGTGAAGTTTTTGTAGTGAAATAAGGAGGAAATCTTGCAGATAACTCTGCCTTTTAACTTCATGAATTAGCCATTCCTCATCCATTGTGGCGCTTTTAACGTGAGTGGCAGGAATAAAATAGAAACGGGGCGCCCCACAAAAGTGCGTTTCTAAACAGTGCGCAACATTGTGCTGCATCACTCGCTGCCTTTTAGGACATTCCAGTAAAAAAACAATGCGGTCAGACATTTTAGTTGCTGGTGCTCCTGTTTGATTAAGTTAGGACATAGCGATACAACTGAAAAGAATACAGCATGCTATCTTTTATCATGCCAATGATCAGGATTAGTGCGCTTCAAATGTTAGCACACTAATATTGTGGGTGTATGAGGGCCGAAACAGTGTAAGGTTGAAGAAGAAAGTAAATTATTCCTTTTAACATGAGGCCATTTATTTACATTTTCACATATCTAGTGTCTGTGAGAATTATTTGGTTGTTCCCATGATTGTATTCGTCAAAGCTGACAGCTAATTCGTAAACAGTACACTGTGTGATTATTGTTTTCACACGCTTTTTCTACATTTGTTTGTAATGGACTTGATTTTTTTCTATTCAGCCCCCAAGGAGTAATTTGTTGCACTGCCAGCAGGAAAAAATCAACACAATGATCCATAAAACACTCAATCCAAACAAGGAGAGATAAAGGAGAATAGAAATTAAACGTGTCTCCATCTGTTGTTTCCTCGTTTTTGCCCCTTTCCAGAAAATTCTGGGAGCACTTTATCTCCATCTGCCACGAAAACTCGAGCCTACACGGCATCACCTTTGAGCAGATCAAGTCTCAGCTGGAGGCCCTGGAGCTCAAGAAGACCTATGTCCTCAACCCGTTGGCTCCAGAGTTTATCCCCCGTGCCCTCAGGCCCATGCAAGGGCACCACTCGTCTTCGCAGGCCCTCCATCCCCACCATCATCCACATCCTCAGCATGCGCAGCCAGCCTCCAACAAGCAGGGTCCACAGCAGCAGCAACAGCAGCAGCAGTCGCCCCCCAAGGTGAGGTGTTTCTGATGAGGGAGGACACTGTAAGGGTTAACTGTATCCATCCACCTCTTCTTTCAATATGGGCGTTCAAAATCCTGACACCAAACTGTAGAAATTAAAAAAAGATGCAAGAAAGGTTGATATAAATTGATTTTTTCAAACATTGACTTTACTGGATTTGAATCTGCTGTTTTGCTTGAGTGAATACTGAAAATAAAAATATAGAGTTTGCAAATGTAGGGAGGGAAATAGGAAATCAGAGTAGGGAGGCAGAAATAAAACAAAAACGGGCGAGGCAGAGGATGTTTTGAAAAGCTCAAATATAGGGTTTTCTATGTTAATGTAATGTGTCAGGTGACCACTTGCTGCTTTGTGGAAATAGTAAACACATTACCCAGAATGAATTGAGTGCTTCCTGCTTTTAGAGAGAAAAAAATTACACGAAGCTTTGCACATGCGGGCACAGAGCACAAATCTATTAAAATGACTCCGTTTATTTTTTACCCCAGGAAATTTCTTTATGGGCGTTCGTTTTGGCCACAGAAAAACAACACGGATGTAAAATTAGCACCGCAGGATTGGCGGAAGGATGCGTTGTTTGATTGTTCGGCTCGGGCTGAAATGTCTTTGTGTGGCTGTCTGTCCTCCCTGCCTGCCCTGAGGTAAAGGTTAACGAAATCACCACAGCTGCCAACCTGCTGCCATCACCCACTGGGCCTAATGAGCCGCAGCTCCACAGCATCAACCGGCTTTAGAGACACATGCACAGTTTTCTCCCTCTCCACAGCCGTACCATGTAGCTCACAACAACACAGCACACACAGACATGGAGCTATCAGTGTGCAGTATGTAATATATTGCTTCCTTAAGCATATACAGCAGGTTGCTAATTTAAAGGTCAGGCCATTCTTGGTACTTCTGTACATGGCGGACACTGTGGTGTGCAGCCCAAAATAATCCATAGAAATGTCATTTAAAAATAGATAAATTAGTTTCTAATAAAATCTGTGTTGTCGTGTTGAATCTGGTTTCTTCAGTGCAGCTTTTTCACATCTGCCGCCAATCACACTAATACCCCACCTTGTGAATATTTTACGATTCAGTAATGATCAGACTCGGTTGTCCATGTTATTGTAGCGTTTTAAAGCACAACTGTGAGCACAAAATAAATGGTTAATAAATCAGTTTCTCGAGACGGTTGATCATTGTGCAAAACATCTTAATTAAATCCACTTTGGTTAAATGTGATAAACAATCAAAACATCATGTCCAAGGCAGACTGTATACAATTTGCAGATGCAATTACTTGGAAAACACATTAATTTCATCAGAAAGCACGCATCATGTTTACTGTTTGGCATCCATTTTACCAGATATATATGCTCCAGTTGACTTCACATTGTGAAGTGCTGCTTTCTGACACAGATGGTGTTTTGGTGCGAGTACGTAAAACTGAGACACTTGTTACTTGTAAAATATGTCTCACATTAAAAAGCTTTTTGTAGTTCCAGCTTTCGCACAATTAGCGTCATTTTAATTGGGGAGGGAGGATTTACAAGAACAATTGCCACTTTTTAGAAACAATTATATATCACTTATTTTCATGTGTCATTAAATCAAAAGTGATACTTGGCTTGGTGTCAGGAAGAAATGAAATGTTTGGTATTAAGTCAAACTTGAGTGATTTTCTCATAGCACGTATTCTTGCATGTGTGTCTTTCATTACAATCTTTCTTGCATCTTTATTCCAACAACCTACAATGTCTTTGATTGAATCCTGAGCGCACTACACATCCCTGCTTTACTGACAGAGGGAGTGTGCTGTTGAGAACCGAAACTATGTCATATATACAGTCAGGTCCATAATTATTTGGACAATGATACAGTTGTCATCATTTTGGCTCTGTACACCACCACAATGGGTTTTAAATGAAACAATGAATACCTGCTTAAAGTGCAGACTTTCAGCTTTCATTTAAGGCTTTTTTCAAAAATGTAGTATGAACCGTGTAGGAATTACAACCATTTCTTCACACAGTCCCCCAACTTTAAGGGCTCATAAGTATTTGGACAAACTAACATAATCATCAATTAAACAGTCAGTTTTAATACTTGGTTGCAAATCCTTTACAGTCAATGACTGCCTGAAGTGTTGGACACATAGGCATCATCAGATGCTGGGTTTCTTCCCTGGTGATGCTCTGCCAGCCCTTTACTGCAGCCGTCTGCACTTCCTGCTGTGTTTTGGGTGTTTTGCCCTCAGTTTTGGCTTCAGCAAGAGAAACGCATGCTCAGTTGGATTCAGGTCAGATGATATGACTTGGCCGTTGCAGAACATTCCACTTCTTTGCCTTAAAAATGTCTTTGGTTGCTTTTGCAATATGCTTCAGGTCAATGTCCATCTGCACTGTGAAGCATCGTCCAATGAGTTTTGAAGCATTTAATTGAATCTGAGCAGATAATGGTGCCCCAAACACTTCAGCTTTCATCCTGCTGCTCTTGTAAGCAAGACAAGACTTCACTAGAATAAATACTGAGGGTTTATCACAAGATGCAAACCATTGGTTAGCCTTAAAAATGGAAGGCCAGATTAGAGTTTGTCAAAAACCATCTAAAAAGCCTGTACAGTTGTGGAACAGCATACTATGGACAGATAAAACAAAGATCAACTACCAGAATGATGGGAAGACAAGAGAAGGAAGAAGGGAAGGAACTGCTCATGATCCAAAGCACACCACCTCATCAGTGAAGCATGGTGGAGGTACTGTTATGTCATGGCCATGTATGGCTGTCAGTGGAACTGGTTCTCTTGTATTTATTGATGATGTGACTGCTGAGAAGAGCAGCAGGATGAAAGCTGAAGTGTTTGGGGCTACATTATCTGCTCAGATTCAACCAAATGCTTCAAAACTCATTGGACGATGCTTCACAGTGCAGTTGGACATTGACCTGAAGCATATTGCAAAAGCAACCAAAGACATTTTTAAGGCAAAGAAGTGGAATGCTCTGCAATGGTCAAGTCATATTATCTGACCTGAATCCAACTGAGCATGCGTTTCTCTTGCTGAAGCCAAAACTGAGGGCAAAACACCCAAAACACAAGCAGGAAGTGCAGACGGCTGCAGTAAAGGGCTGGCAGAGCATCACCAGGGAAGAAACCCAGCATCTGATGATGCCTATGTGTCCAACACTTCAGGCAGTCATTGACTGTAAAGGATTTGCAACCAAGTATTAAGACTGACTGTTTAATTGATGATTATGTTAGTTTGTCCAAATACTTATGAGCCCTTAAAGTTGGGGGACTGTGTGAAGAAATGGTTGTAATTCCTACACAGTTCATACTACATTTTTGAAAAAAGCCTTAAATGAAAGCTGAGAGTCTGCACTTTAAGCAGGTATTTATTGTTTCATTTAAAACCCATTGTGGTGGTGTACAGAGCCAAAATGACGACAACTGTATCATTGTCCAAATAATTATGGACCTGACTGTATATGCAAAATCCCACTGCACTTTGACACTCAAAGGAGTTTTACGGAGACAAACTGGAGCCACTGTCTCCTTTTGCTTTTTGTTTGACGGATAGGGTAAATAACACAACCTTGCAAGCACACAAATCCACTGTTTAACAGCCAGTGTACAGTCATCTAGTATTTTTAAGATCCGGTTAGCAATGTTTTCAATCTCAGCAGACCCCCTGCTGTTTGAGAAATTTGCTCCTATGATATAAATGTTGAGAAACATCCATGTTGGTCATTGTCACTATTCAACTCATACCTCTCAGAGGAAATGTTGCAGCAGCGCATCTATGACTAGATCAAATAATCACAGCGCTAGACGATGGGCACCATTTTCAGCCTGGTGTGTCTGGCATTGCTCAGTTAATGTTACAACCTAAAATAGCAGCCAAGCAAAGCAGCTTCTGCAACATTATATCAGACCACAGTCAGTTTCAAGAAGGGGATCACACTCACATGAAACACTACATGCTACACAATGACATCTTTGGTGTATGAGTTACAAGATCATTCTGCAGAGGGTGACTTTTACATTAGTTATAGCAGTTTTATATTTGGTCATTATGTCATGCAGCACTAAAGGTGAAACCTATTTACATGTGGAGTTAGACTATTTGATATTTCTCTTGTTTGTGACATTGTAGTTTGGCTGTTCCTAAGTTCAAGCTAGAGGACATGCTGCCTCGCAATTATAACCATATTTTCAGGACCAGTAAACATTGGCTATGGTTTGTGTGAGGCTGGCAGGAAAGGAACAGCCCTGGCATATTTGACTTTGTTCACTGAACTTATTTTTTAGTTGGTACCTGAACTCTGTCGGGTGGTTTCACCAAAGTCAGGATGTCTTTCAATATTTGCAGTCGTCTAATACTGGAATATCTGCATTTGCAGCCATATCTCCATATGTCTAGTTTGCAGAATAAGTCTTATTTTGCTCAAGAAAAGGCCTTTACTTTTACTTTTTAACATGTTCGGTCTGCAAAATACCAGCAGCACATTACAACATTACTCCAACAGATCAGTTCGGTTATGTTCAGTCTTTGTTTAGGTGCTGCTATCTTGTTTCAGATAATTGTTTTCCATCTTTTGTTCAGGACTGCTTGCTAAAATACCTGAAAATATGGACCTTGTACCAAAGACTGCTCTGCTTTCTTAGTAATGTGACTGGCACCCCTTATCTGAATGGTAAATAATACCAGCTTTATGTAATATCAGCATAGCAACAGAGTGAATCTCATGAAACGGAGGATGTCATTCATCTCTGCCTCCTCCAAGGAAGCAACTGTCAAGGACTATCTGTTAACACCAAAATCAACTGGGAGAGACTACGTGCAACGAAACCAGCCGCTGAAAAAGCTCAAAGTAGATTGTTGTGTATGCCTGCCTGTAATGATGAATAATACAAGAGATATGGTCCACCTTAACTCAGGTATGGGAAGATCTCATGAGAGCCCAGTGTTGTGTGTGTGTGTGTGTGTGTGTGTGTGTGTGTGTCTGTCTGTCTGTGTGTATGCAAGTATGTATAGGTTTGTGTTTGCACGTGCAACCCCACATGAGTACTTGTGTGTGTGTGTGTGTGTGTGTGTGTGTGTCAGCATTGATCAGGATTCAGTTCAGGCTCACTGTGTACACTATAGTAGATGGAGCTGTATTGTGAAGCCCCCAGGAGGAACAGCAAGGGAGTTTGGTTGTTCTCATCTAGTGGTAGAAGGAGTAAATCTGTCTTGGCAGATATGTTGACTCGTTGTAGCATGAAAAACAAAAATGTAGTCGCAAAATTGATTCAGAATTAAGTTCACTGACCATGCGTGTTATTAAATAATATGTCTCCCGATGCAGTTGTATGGCTCTCATATGATTTTGATAGATTTTTGACAGCGGAGTTCTCCAGGACGGAGGCATACTCTAGGTAGTATGAGGCCTTGGCCGGTGATGGCATAGTTTTCTAAAATACATCTGTGGCGTACAAGTGAGGCGATCATGGTGAGGAAGACAGTGTGTCAGATACACTGCCTCTCCATTGACATTTATTAACCTGTCTATACTGTATTAGGGGGCTTTGTGAGTGCATAAGCTTTGGGTGTAATTGGAATACCTGGGAAGCTGTACTTAGATGGAACTGTGACCCTGTTTACACTTGGTTTTAATAGGCCTTTCAGTGATCCGAACACAAGTGGACAGCCGAGATGCATCACAGTACACCAACCTGTGTCTATCACGCATCTCTAGTTAACCACTTGTGTTCAGATTTTGGGACTGTCTACGTAGGGCCCCACGTACAGTTATTATGTCCACACTCTTCCCGGTCATGTTAGCGGTTTTGTCTGTACAGCTGGAGATATCGCTGTCAACAGAATCCAACACGTCTGCATTCGTAGGGCAAGACAACAGATGGTCACGCCACATTTCCTCACAACTCATCGATTAAAGGGCATGTTATAGAGCGTTAACGCGCTGTCACCGAAACAACCACCACGTCCTGCATTGATGATGAAGTCCTTGTCACATATGCGCCAGGACGCATTAGTGTTTACACTGCACAAGATATGTGGTCACATGCATCCTAGACCACATCAGCATGTGGTTTGACTGATTGGATCACAGTGCATCTACACTTTAGCGCTGTCCACTTGTGATCTGATTTTGAGAAATTCGATTTCAAGATTGCGTTACAGGACACAGTCGTAGGAAGCCTGTCTTTAGATTAGATATGGCATGGAACTGAATAAGTCCTGTGGCTAACTTTTATCAGGACAGTGCAACAATTTCTAATATGTAATTAATTAAATGTGGCACTTTTGATCAGGAAGCTGAAGAGTTTCAGTGTTAGCCAGCACATACTTGAAATAACATACAGAAGCCTGGTTTAAAGCATTTTAATTTTTTGACATTAGTATGGCAACCTGAGAGCAAGGAGCACAAACAAGTTCCCCAAGATTGTCAACATTGCAGGGAAGGTGATTGGCAAGTCACAGAAACAACTCAGCAATATAACTGACAATGCCGTACACAGGAAAGCTAAACATATGAGTTCCGTTGCCTCACATCTGTTACACTCACAGTTTGAGCTGCTCCTGTCTGGGCATCGATTTAGGATCCCTAGAGCCAGTCAGAACATATGTAAGAAGTCCTTTATTCCTTTTGCTGTACAGGCAGTGAACACAGTGTGACTGTATCAGGAAACTACCATTTTTATAAGATGTGCTCTCTTTTACTATTCTTTTAATTTGTTGCTCCTATGTACCCATTTGCACTATTGTATCATATATATTGTTAAATTGTATATGCCTGTTCTTTATGAGCAGAATGTGCCTGCATCATACATTGATATAATGGATTCATTAGCTGTTCTCTGCTAGCCTGTTAAACTCCTGCCTCATCTCTGAAGTGATGCCACTATAGCTGTTGTAACAGGTGAGGGACAGTCAGTACCATACTGCAGCTGCTGTACATTACCTACATTGCTTTACAGTTGCCAGGATCTGGTATTTACCACACACTCTTTTCTACTCAATTGGCCTTTGGGAATTCATAGTCTTGCTTTATGGTTTTTTTTAATGATTCTTTTGTCTTACAGGGGAAACATGCAAACCACACAGAACACCTTCCACCTGAAGGATATGGTGAGTGTATCATACTGTTAGTATTTAGCCGTGTTGATTATCTAAATATCAAACAGTATTGTTTTATAAAATTTGCATATTGGATTCAGGACTTTTTCTCTTGCTTTCTGTTCTTTGTCAGTAACTCAACCTGCACTGTGGTGCATATGCAGAAGCAGATTACAATCAAAGGCAATTTTTTACGACCTTTAAGGGTTTTATGTTGTAGCTCATTGCTGATAATGTTTGCTTGCCTGGATGTAGATAAAGGAAAGGAAAAGAAATCAAATGCAGGCCAAATTTGAGACTTATCCTAGAAAGGTATATATTACTGCTGTATAGTCCACCACAGGAAAAAGTCACTGTCCTCTTAGCAGTAGTTGAAATGGACTAAAACAGCGATGGTGTTGACACATACAAACACATCTAGAAATAAATCCATCCACATAACGTTTCTGTCCTTATCACTGTATGTTCTCTATATTATGGTCAGGTCTTACAACAGAGCAACAGTGGAAGTTTCTGTTGTCTCTTCTTCCTCTGCCTCCGTACACACAAACAAGCAAACATCTCGACAGCTTGATATGAGCCAGTCTAATGCAGCAGCCCAGATGGATGCATGAAGGCCTGAGGCTATTGAAGCCGTCAGTGCGATGCAGCCTTGAACAGCACAGCGAGGAGTCAATACGATGCTTACTACAGGAAGACAATCAGTTTGTTTCACCCACTGCAAATTGTCAGCCAGCTACATTATCCTCCACTGAAAAAAAACTCAAATGAAATCTAAGCAAATCACCTCTTCCTTTAATACAGGTTGGCCATCATCTTTTCATATGTTGCTCTCCTCTGATAGAATCATACAGGTTGTTATCTAACATTTTTCAAGCTATGAATAGTTAGATATGTCTGGGCTTGTGTGTCACCTACTGTCAATCTGTCATCACATTAAGGTTAGGAACTATTTGCATTGACTTATATCACCATGCCATCTTCTCTCATTGCAGTCCAACCCAACCCAGCTGTGCTGATGGGAAACCCTATTCGGGCATTCACACCACCCTTGGGTAGCACACCAGCTGGCATGGGCAAATCACCCAGTCCTGTTCAGAGGATAGATCCACATACAGGCGCCAGTATCCTCTACGTCCCAGCTGTGTATGGTGGAAACATGGTCATGTCCATGCCCCTGCCTGTAAGTTTCCTGCTTTTGGTAACAAACTCACAGATGTAATGTGTAAGAAATTATACTTAAACATATGTTTCAACTACTGCAGAGGATTCTGTCAATTTTGCTTTTGTTAAAACGAAAAGGTGTAAGGTTGCACCTCTAAGAAAATAGGTAAAATATCGATATCTCAAGAACACATTGAGGAAATTACCTCAAATTTGGCACAAACTTCCACTTGGACTCAAGAATGAAGATTTTGGTATTCAGAGGTCAATGTGACCTCACAAAACACGTTTTTACCATAATTCAAGAATTCTTACGGAAGGACAGACAAACTTTCTTTAAGAAAAAAAAAAACCCTGTATGTCCCTTTGTATCATTCTGTGTCACTTCTCTAAATTCAGGTTTTTTTGTGGGTCCATGAACACAGCGCATGCAGAGCACACCATGAGTTCTTTCAGTAGCAATAGAGACTCCCAGGGTGGATAATTCATTTCTTCATCCATTTAAAGCTGATCAGATCAAAGAGGAGCAGCTGCTGCAAGTGAATGCAAACTTTTAGACCCACCATAGTTATATGGTTCAGTTTGTAATTGCCATTATAAACTGTGTGTGTTCATCCCCCTATCATCTGCCATGGTGTCTTGATCAATAATATGTCAGTCTGTGTTTTTATTTCCTCAGTTGCCGTGGCCAGGTTACCAGAATCGCTTTGCTGTGGACCCTCGCATCATGAGCCACCCAGCAGCCATGGCCTACAACTTCAATCTGTTGCAAGCCCAGAATCGAGGCTCCCCCATCCCTTACAGTGGGGTGGCCCATCCCTCTCCTCTAGGAATGGGCCAGCCCAGCCCTGACAAGGAGCTACAGGCAGACCCTATCAGAAATGGTGCACTTTATTTTAATTACCTCACCAAGCAACCACCCAAAATCACGAAATCTATTATTAAATGCCATTAAATAGAAAGAACTGAAATAGCCCGGTATATGGTAATACATTTATTTTTGTGTTTGACTTCTTAGGTAAATTAGAAGGATGTCCAAAGTCAGAACAGAGCCGTCTTCAGACACCAGAGAGGAAAACCGCAGACATGAAGGAAAAACAGGCAAGTTGTTGACATTTTTTCATTTCATTTTTAATGTTTTTGCCAAAAGAAAACTTGTTTATTTTATGTAGGGCCACAAGTCTTTGCTCATGTTGTTTGGATTTTTGATTATTTTTTGGTACAGGGAGATTTAGACACAGGCCAAAGTCGAAGTCTGGACTCGCAGTCAGACGGGCTAGTCGGATTTCCCAATGCGCTGCTCCATCGAAAAGATCCGTCAGCTGCCCAAAGACCCCTCAACTACCACCTGGCACCACCCAACCCAGCTTTTCCTCCACATCCTGCCAGTGGAAGAGCCTTCCCTCCACAGTATCCAGTCTCCAGGCTTCCTTATCGGGTCAACCAGCCTCAGCACCCAGGGATGGCCCAACAGAGTCAACAGCAGCAACAACAGCTCAGCCCTGCCTACACAGGTGGAAGCCACAACGCTTCCTTCTTCAGTGGCCCAATACCCCCTCACAGAGCTGTCCAGTCTCCCACTTTGGATGGGCCGGAGCCTGGAGGGGTGGAGGAGATGAGTAGTTCCATTAGGACTCCAATGGGTCACCCAGGGGGGCACCACCCAGGCCTCTCACAGCATAACAGGGTCAGCAGCTTTGGGGAGGACGCACAGGATGGAAGCCTGGGAGATAGTTTGGGTGAGTGTAGCAGCATTTTTTTTTTTTTTTTTTTGTTAGGTTGTTAGACAAGCTTTTTCTTGACTTGTACATTGCTGTTTAGTCAAGATTTGCACAAATTAATGATATATATTCATATATTTTAAAAAAAAATTTAAAAGAAGTTCAATATTTTCAACTTTACTTCAAAAGGAGTTCATATCCCAATAATCTGACTTATTTTGGAAGATCCTTCTTTTTCTGGGAGGCTAATAAGTAGCTGCCTTCACCCACTCTTGAAGTTCATCTAGATGCATTGTTACTTTTACATTCGCTCATGTTGTATTTGGCCTGTGGGAGAGCTAGTGTTGTTTATTGTTCTGCTCAAGCAATGTGTTCTTCCTCAGTGAAATCATTTCTCCTCTGAGATAAGAATTGTATATTGGATAGCACATCACAAAGAGAATTAAAGCAGTGCTCCAGAATTAGGGGGCCTTTTTTGCTGTTTTATTCAATAGTGTATTTGATTATCTCTCTTTGATGATGTAAATTTGCAAATAAATGCTGGTTAGTTGATTGTTGAATTAAATAAAAGTAATAATCTTAAATCTTGTTTTAAACAAATATCTGATAAGTCACTTTCTATCACAGAATGAGGTAACACAAAGGTGACTGAGCTTATGGCCCGCTGATTAAAGGACAACTTCAGTATTTTTCAACCTGGGCCCTATTTCCCCATGTGTATGTGTGCATATGATTCATGGGTACCACTCGTGAATCATATGCACACATATGATTCGTTCTAAAATTGGTTCAGAATTGAGGGAGGTGGATGCAGCCGGAGCCGCGAAACGAGCTAAAACGGTAACGGGGCAAATGCGAAAAAACACACACTTCATACACACATACTCACTTACAGTACCCAGCGGGGCAGCCCTCCCCCTCTCTGCTCCAACACTGACTGACAGCTGACTCCACTCATTAGCACTGGCGATCTGAACTGGTCAGTGGCGAAAAAAAGCACTTTTAATGCGCAGGATATTCCAAACTGTTGAACAGCAGTGTGTAGAAATGTATCGAAACATTCACTGTTATAGATAATAATTCATAGTGAATCAGTTCAACAATAACCTAAACTTAATAGTGTATGGTACCTTAGCCCACTGAGATATGAGGACACCACCAGTGACTCCAAAACTAATGGCATGGTTTACCTTTCAGACCTCCAGGGTCCCTTGGCTTTAGAGGCCCTGAGCCAGCAGCAGCAGCAGCAACAGCAGCAACAGCAGGCGGCCAGACTGGGCCAGTGGGGAGAGACGGCGGGACACTTTCTACAGGGTAACGTCGCCTTCCCTCTGCCCCAACAGCTCGCCCACCTCGCTCAGCCCGGCATGGCTCGCTTCCCCCATCAGCTGCTTCGGGCAGCTAATTGGGGCCTTAGTGCCAACATGGAGGATGACGCTGTTACTCCTGCCTCCACTGGGCCACCTTTCAACAGGTTAGACTTAGCACTAGCCTGTATTGACATTTTTGATTTTTTGGTAAATCAGTACTACAGAAACGTTACAGTTTTATTATTGAACATTGAAAATAATGTGTGGGATTAAAAATTTGGTGTACTGCTTGAAATTGGACTTGCATCATAACTATTGCTGTGTCAATGTATCACTTCCCAGATACCCTGGCCTCTTGAGAGAGATGCCCCCACAGGAACAGCCTGAACCCAGGGACGCAGCTGAGATGCAGCCCCCACCTCAGTCTCGTCTCCTCCAGTACCGCCAGTCCCAGTCCCGTGCCTCAGGTGACCCGTCATCCTCCTTAGCTGCCACCTCCAATCATGCTGGCCCTTTCCCATCAGGACCTTACTCCCATGATGCAGGCCGCGACCTCCTCAGTGACAACCTTCTAAACAACCCAGCTCTGCAGCAGCAGCAGCAACACCCAGGGAACCCCCTGTATAATACTGGTAGCTACCCACACCAGCCACCAGCCCACTCTGCTAGCCCCCCTCCCTCCCAGGTCAAATACCTTCTGCAAGAGGCCCAGTGGCCTCATGGCGGAGCTGCATCAGTAAGCCCACCGCAGCAGAATCACCTGTTGGGGAACCAGGGCCACGGCCTTCCTTACGGACTGCCCATCATGGCTCACCCCAGCAGACAGGAGCAAGTCCACCTGATGCAACTTCACCATCACCATCAGCACCAGCAACAGCAGCAGCAGCAGCAACAACAGCAGCAGCAACAACAGCAACAACAACAACAACAACAACAACAACAACAACAACAGCAGCAGCAACACCAACAGAATCAAGGTCCAGACCAGGAGTCCTACCACCCTCTGTCCCCCAGAACATCAGCAGCCAAAGCCCTTCACAATGTAGATGAGGCAAGTTTATTCCTTTCTTTGGAGTATTGCTTGGATCCTTAGGTTTTATAAATCTCCATGCTTCAGTGCAGGCGGAACATACTTGTATACCTGTAGATCCCTTAACATCCCGGATAGTATTTTGAGGAACTAACAAGCTCCGAGCCAGGCTTGACATGGCCTGCTTGTTTAGCGCTCAAAGTCACATGTAGAAGTCACTACAAAAATGAGCACTCCATGTTTAGTCCAAATTAATCAATCAATCAATCAATCAATCAATCAATTTTATTTATAAAGCCCAATATCACAAATCACAATTTGCCTCACAGGGCTTTACAGCATACGACATCCCTCTGTCCTTATGACCCTCGCAGCGGATAAGGAAAAACTCCCCAAAAAAAAACCCTTTAACGGGGTTAAAGTATTGCTTTAAAATGCACCAGAGAAAGAGCTTGTTTCATCACTCTTTCTAACTTTCTACCTGTCTGACAGCCTCTGTAAATGCGGGAAATTATGCATCACCTGTCAAAAATACTGTAATGGTAAAGGTACAGCTGTATGCATGATGATGGGATTAGCCGAGTCTGTCTTTTCTCAAATGCGCACCTGTATTTAAATGTTGCTTGAAGTTGAGATGTTAAAGTTTCTGATGAAATCTAAATGCTGTGTGCTGACAGGCAAATGTGGATACTTAGCATCAAATTTTCACATTTGATAGAGATGCAGAATGAATATCAAGATGTGTAGCTTAAATGTTGTATTACAAGGAGAAAATGGATTGTGGATATGTGCTTACCATACGATAAACACTTGTTTGCTCTGTCTTGTTTCTATTAGTGGCAAATAAGATCTAATAAATAAGTAAGACCTGCACTAGAGGGACTAGTTATATTAATACTGTGGGTCTTTGATCTTTATGAAACAAGGAGGTGCTCTGTGCACAGCAAGGGTGCAGAATATAAAATACATATAATAGCTATTTGACAAGTGTTTTTTTAATTTCATTTACGCATCCATCACTGTGTCAGTAAGCGCTAAAAGATGTTTATAGACAACTGCTTCTTTAGATCTGCATGCCACTTTTATTCTTAAGGTCATTTTGCCCAACATCCTGTCAGTCTTTGTTTCGCCTCTCAAAAAGCCCCCAGGAGCAGCGCCAGACTTTACATAGTGGCCAAATTGTAGAATTACAACTTCCAGGTTGTGGCCCAAAATTAATTTTTCCCATCGATTGTGAAAGAGATGTCTGTAATTCAGTGGATGAATTGTTTTGAGCGTCACAAGCCCAGCAGAATGACTAGTTTCACACGATTTGATCCATTTGGTCTGATGACATTTTGAAAGTCAGGAGGAGCCACACAATTAAATCATGTTGTCCCTATTCAAATTAGCAGAAGGTTAAATAGAAAGTTCGCTGCTAAGCCTGCGAAAGTCTGTAGTGCATCTGCTTTATGGACCCAACAATGCAGAAGAATTACAGAAGATTAGGGTAATTTTACACATGGAAGTTGCAACTCTTTTGGCTTCGTAGGCCACTGAGCAACTTCAATAGGAATGACCACCTATTGGGGAGACCTCTCCTTTTCTGTATCTCTGGCTGCCCTATCAATAAAAAAAGAGGAATGGCCGCCAGTTCTCCTTTTGCATCTATGGTTGTCAACCTTTTCTCTTTCTTATCCACCTTTACTGTCTTCGCAGTATGAACCCAGAGGTCCAGGCCGGCCCCTCTATCAGCGGCGCATCTCCTCCAGCTACCCAGATGAATCGTCTCCAGCCAACGCCCACAATGCCCTGTCCCAGCAGCCCCAGCCCTGCACATCAGACCCCCAGGACCACCCTCATCCGCACATACAGCATCATCAGCACCCACACGCCCCCTACAGTTACCCCTCACATGACCTCTGGCCCAGTAACGGTGGGGGTCCCGGTCCGTTCCAGAACATTCCATGTAACGGAGCCGGCACACTTGCTCATCACCGGGACCTTCTGGGTAAGTATCAGCAGATAGGCTTTTGTTAGGCAGCATGTTGTTTTGCAAAGAGTTGTTTTGTTAATTTTGAGAACGTTTTATCATGTTCCAACCAAGTCTTACTTACCTCTTATCTTTCTGGGGCACCCTTCCTATTTTTTGCTTTTGTCTGCTTCTGGATCTGGCAGCTTCCAAGGCCCTTCGTCAGACGGAGGAGCAGGTGAAGGCCGAGGCCACAGCAGCACAGCAGCCACACCCACACTCCCTCAATTCCCTTCAGCACCTTGGACAGTTTCCTCCTCTCATGCCCAATAACAAGCAGCAGCAGCAGCAGCAGCAGCAGCAGCAGCCGCCACCGCCGCCACCGCCACAGGCTCCCACAGAAGCCAGCCAGGGAGCTCCAAATTTAAACAAACCACCCACCATGTCCTATGCCAGCGCCCTCCGCGCTCCACCCAAACCCCGAGCTGTTCGCCCTGAACAGGTCAAAAAGAACAGCGACCCCCTGTCCCTCCTACAAGAGCTGAGTATAGGAAGTTCAAATGGTAGCAATGGGTACTATTCCTACTTTAAATGAGTGTCTCTCCCATATAATAAGTAAGTGATGAAATAAAAAAACAAAAAAAACGAAACAAAAAAAAAGCAAAACAGTTCCAAAAACAAACAAAAAAATAGTGCAAAGTGCATTTACAAATTGTTTCTATCAGTAGGTTTGTTTTCTGCATTTTGTTTCATTTTAACTTTTTATTTGTAACAGTCATCTTTTCTCCTGTTTCACATATCTGTGAAGAAAATAAGTATATATAATGAATGCATTACTGGTATATATACATACTCATTATGTATATATGAATATATACTTATATTATCTACACTTGTATATGTACGTAATGCTAAAAAAAGTTATAAAAAAAAAAATAAAAATAAATAAATAAAAATAAAAAAAGGCAAGAGTTGGTTGACCACTTAGCTACCTGCATATTTTTCCTTATTGAAGTTGGTTTTGTTGGTTACTAAATAAGTATGTTGAAGTTTTTATCATTTTGTATTCTTCAGTTTTGAGTGGACGTTACGTCTTGATTTTCATACTACTGTAGTCGTGGTAACGGACAAAAGCTAAGTGGTCAACTGACGCAGAAACTACATGGAACAGTGTATAGAAGTAGATAAATTTTCCTCTAATCTGTAAATATAAAGAAAATAAAAGACTGAATTGTATGCCACAGACATGTCCTTAAATTCCTGTATCATGCTAGCATTTGCATTATGAATTATTTTCTGTTTGTTGGCTTCTGATCCTTAATTCTTAGACACCCTGGGAATAGCTGGGAATTATCTTTTGTGAGTTAGTAGTAAATGTGATTATTTACTGAAAAATAACAATACAAATATTGATTGCGTATTTTACTTTTCACCAACGTTTCATCAGCAACAGTAGATACAGTGTGAAAATGTCAAAATAGCAACAACATGTCATTCCTCCTTTGTTTGTGTTAAGGATCAGAGAACACCAGACGTCGCTTTCTATGATAAGAATATCCCAAACTGCTTCGCTTGTGGCCGATGCTCAGTCATTTTATTTTATTTCTTTTTGTTTGTGTAAACAGAAATTTTTCACCATGGAGATGTTTCAAAATCTGCTGGGGATATGAAATGAGTTTTTATTTTTTGTGCCTAGAATTGACATTAAGCTTTTTTTGTTTTGAAAAGGTTGCAGTACTCTGAAGGTTTGTGAAAGTGAAGAGAGAGTGGTGAGGTCAGAGTGGTGTGTCACGATTGGTAAGTTGAAGCCGAGGGTGTGATGAACACTGCCAGACGTTTTTGAACACGTGAACTGTCAGTATTTTTTGGTTAAATCTGAAGTATATTGAAACTGTAGAATCACAGTAAATACCCTGACATTTAAAAATACACATCAGTAATTCACCAGTGTTGGAGGTTTTTGATTTTATCCTAAATGGCCTAGATGTCATCAGTGTAGCAAAGAGCGGACTGTGTATTATTCTGATTGTTAATGCTGTCTATGCTCTTAACACACTGTTGGTCCCAGATGCTTTTCAGTCAGAATTTCCCAGTTTCTAGATGACTTTTCATAAAATGAGCCAGACTGCCCAAAGATAATTTTCTCTGTAAGACAATCCATTAATCTGTGGAACCTTATCATAAACAATAATCATATATCTCTCCCATGAGCTAATATTTGCTTCAGGTTGTAACAGAAACATTGATCATTGGCCATAATAAGTGAAAAGCATTTCCGTATCACTAATATTTTTTTCTGTGCACATTAGGAAATGCAAAGCAAACACATCCTCCATCTGTTTCAACACTCAGAGATTTAACCAAAAAAGTAATGCAGTAAAAGTTACTATACAATAATTTGTTCAAAATCGTGTGACTGTCAAAGTGTCTGTTTTTTAGACTGTGCATAATAAGAATGAATCAGTAATGTCGTGCACGTTGTTCCTGGTCATTCAGAGAATTACATTATTCGCTGTTTTTCAGTCTGATCTGATTAATATATTAATTAATATTAAAGCAGTAGATTAATCTCATTTCCTCTGTTTTAAAGGGTAAGTCTGATATTTTTCAACCTGGACCCTATTTTATGTTGTTGTATCAAAGTGACTGATGGGAACAAAAAAACTTGGAATTGGTTCAGTACTGAGCGACACTACAGGATGCAGTGTAACACTCGGGGCATTTGCGCACTGTAATGTCTACTTAAAGTGTAAGTTTCAGATTATTATTCAAATTATTATTATAAGTGTCTGACAAGATTATTGAAGAGACCTTTTTTGTTAAAGACCAGAAACAGCCCGAAAATCACTATCACCAAACCCACCAGACTCCATATAGATAAACGGTTATTTCATCATAGTAAAACACACTTGATTCAAAGTCAACAGGAGAAAAATAAAACTCACAATAGCCCACTTGGTTTGTTTTTCACTGCTCCAACAATCACCAACTTTGGTTTGGTTGAAATAAACCCTTAATTTACCCAGCTAGATGTGAAAGTATGCTGGCTCTATACACACTTAAATTTCTCTTTTTTTAAATGGAGTCTGGTGGGCTTGGCGATTACGATGTTGGAGCTCTTTCCTGTTAAATAAAAAGGATCTTACTCTTTGATAAAAGAGCCTGTCAGTGGCAAAAACAAGCACTTTGATTGGGCGTAAATTGATGGGTGAATAAGCCTGATTGGTTACATTACAGCCTTCTACGAGGCTGCTGGCTGCAGTGCTCTCACTGAATACTGGATCAGTTTTTAAAAAATGTTCCCATTAGTTACTTAGACACAAAAACGTGGGCAATAGGGTCCATGTTGAAAAATACTGAACTAACCCTTTAATTGAAAAAGCTCTGACCAAGTTTTACATTTGCGACATTCACGTGACTTTCTTTTCTCACAACCTAAAACACATGATGAACATAACACAGTGACAATTCATGTTTGAGCTCCAGTCAGTGAGTTGCTTGATATTAGTTGACACACACATACACTCACACACACGGAGGCCACACAGCTTACATGCACATGAGTTTCACTGCTTACACACTGAGGCCCCGGTGATCTGAAGGCCCTTGCAGGTAAAATATAAAAACGATGCTGATCCTACATCTGCCAGGGTTTTTCCTTTATAATGAAAGCAATACTGGAAACAGTCATCCAGTGCTCAGTCCTGCTCTATGTAATTAATTTTAATTGTTGAAACACCACTGCCCCATTTGCAAATTGATGAAATTGTAATAATGTCACCCTGCCGTCTCATGGCGTCCACACGGCAGTTAGTCACTGTTAAATCTCTCAAAGTGTCACGACTTGAGAGAGCTAGTACCCCACGACTAATAACTTAGATGTGTTTGTAACAGTCAGCGGAGAGCTTCATGGTTTTATTTGTACGTGTTTTAAGTTTTGACATTGTATTTCGAAGGTCCAGATTTTTTGACTTAGCGGAGAACAACACATACTTGTAAATATGCATTTTCTAGGTATTTACAAACAAGAACTTTGGGAGCGCCTCAATTTTGTAGAAGCTGTTCAAAGAAGAGGTATGCCCTTTTTAATTATGCAAATTCACAAAAAAATAATAATAATTCTAGAAATGGATAACAACAACCCAGTTGGTAGTTGCGACATCTTGTTGTAACTTTTTAGATTTTCTCTTTTCTGTTTTTTTAAGACGGTGTCTGGCTGATTTGACAAAGAGGAGACTTTGTGTTGCAGCTGTTATAAGAGAACTTATTTCACTGTACAATACATATTTTTAAGTGTATGTTGCTGGATTTGTCCTGTTCTGTTTTCTCACCGCTGTACAACAATCAACATGGATATTTTTTTTTTTTTTTTTTTTTTTTTTTTTTTAATGTGAAGACTTTTCTTTTCATGCATGTTGAGATGACCTGGCTGGTTTTTATCCCTGTTTTTATCAGTTTGTATTGATTTGTGGATGAAGAAAATGAAAAAGAAAAAGAAAAAAAAAAGCTTTTGTTCAACCTACAGAGTCAAATTTTGGTATATTATTTGATGTGTACAATAACTTGTGACATTATCAACAAAACTATTATGATATTTTACTAACATGTCAATCAAATATGTAATGGTCATGTAAGTTCTTTTTTTTTTTTTTTTCCTGCAGTTACTTAGCAGGGCTAAAGCTGAGGTTGCTCCCTGGTGTGCGTCGTATTTACGAAGCTTCTGTTTGTTTGGGGAATCATTTCTCCCCAGAGCAAAGTCGTTGGCTAATCTCTAAAGTTGTGCAATACTAATATTTCACCGCTTCTTCACTTTTATTTATTTTTGAAGCAGAAGAGATTGAGCCAAAGACATTTTAAAGGGATTTTTATTTACAAATTTTTGTCATTGCTGATTTATTTTTAAGGCTTCATTTTTGTCCTTTGCTTCCAAAATGAGTTTGACAGAATCTGTGAAACGAAGGGTCTCTACTCTTGTAATGAAGTTGGATTTGAATTGTTCTCATCACCCAGTTTTGCACCATATATACTCATCCTATGAATTATTCTCTTAAAAAAACAAACAAAATTTGTGTTGCCTTTTAAAGCAAGCGAAACCAACTTGTTTGTGTGTGGCACATGGAAAGGGAGCAACCTTTTGCCCAGCCAGTAGAGAGCACTGTGTTCAGCCTTCTATAAACGCCACATCTCTTCCTGTTATCTGTTTGCTCTCCTCTGTTCTTCCCTCGCTGCAGTGAATCAATGGCACACCTGTTCTCCCAGCCTCCCAGTCCCATTGGTTCCTCCCTCGTGGGTACAAAATAATGAATAGATCTGTTTTACTCTTCTTCATTTCAATTGGTGGTGGTTATAATAAAGGATTTAGACTGTGTTTCAAAGGTTTATTTTCTTTTTTATTTGTTTCTCTATTAAAGTGTTTTTATTGAAATTGCTTGAGTTTTGTCCTCGTTTTTATCATCCTCTGCATCACACAGTAGTAACATAGAGAAGCCTTTGTGCCTTCATTGAATACATCAGCTTGGTCACTGTCTACTAGGGCTGTGTATCATTTAAAAAAAAATAAGATACCAGGGGCTGGTTGCACAAAGCGCCTTAAGTACGACATTTAAGGTTTAGCTTTTCCTTAGCCGAGGAAATTACTTAAGGGTGTTCTACAGAATCTCTTAACCTCCCTAGTCCTGAGCTGTTGTTTTATCATTTTTAATTTCTCCTAGCTATTTGGGATCAGTAGGGCCTGATTAGTATAAGAAACTAACCATTATCAGTGATTATTAAGTCCCAATGTCCTCAAACTAGTACTTTCTAATTAACAGAGTCTTAGCTTGTTACTGTTGCTAAAATTGGTAGTTTGTATGGCATATCAAACTAATGTTTTAAATCATAAACAAGTATCGACCATGAAATTTAATCAGATTTTGGACCCTGTCCACTTTTGTGTCGGGTTCAGCTGCAGACTGACTTGGCATAGATGGCTGCCATCTTGTTTTTACATGGATTAGTGTATTGTGGTTTTGCTACCACTAGATGGCACAAAAAAGTGTCCACGAACAAGGACAACAGGTCTAAGTTAAGTAGAATGAAGTATAAGGTCAGGTAAACCCAAAATGTGATGTCCTCACATGAGGACACAGGGTCTCAGGAGGTTAAAAGGTTTCCTTAGTCAAAGAAAGACATGGGAGAAAACTGCAATGTTTGAACGGGAACATCACCATGACTTGGTGAATGACACAGTGTACCGTTGACTTGTGTACATGGAATACCTCGCCAGTAACTGATTGGAAAGATCCTGTTGTAAAAACTACAGGGCAATCATTAGTTGTATATTGGAAGAGTGCAGCTCGTAAAGTCAAGTCCTCCAACTCTAAATTATTAATTGACCTCCAGTTAAATTTAATGTGCAAAATCAATTGCTCATTATTAAAGGTTCAATCAGGTTCTGCTCAGGATGCCTTAATTTTCCTCACTGATCACTATTAACTCAGTCATGTTGCCGTTAAGATGCAGTCATACGTACCTCATGTTTTTTTTCTTTACTTGGGCAGCTAAGGTCCTCTGAGCAAAAGTTTAATGAATTTTAAGCAATGTCATAAGTATTAGACCAAGATGAGGAGAAAAAACTTAAGAAAACCTTAAGGAGAAGACTTAATGATCATTTGTGCAACCGATTTTATGTAAAGGAAACCTTAACTTGGATGTAAAGAAAAAACTTCCCTTAAGGTGCTTTGTGTAACCGGCGCCAGTACCCTTAAAGTGATACTGATAACAATAGACGACTTCATATGAAACCTTTTTTTCCCTATTTCGATATCCATTGTGTCAATGGAAGCATTCAGTTGTGTAAAATACCACTTGCATGCACAGGTGTGTAGTGCAGCTAGGGCTCGGTATTGGGACTTGAACAAACTTAGTTCCAAGTACTATCAAAACTTATCCAGTCAAACAATACCTGCATCTGATTCTTTTCGTACCCAGATCTAGGAAAAAATGACTACTTGTATGGTTTTCTTGCAGGCAATCACTGTAAGCATGCTTTGATTTAATGCAATGTGTGACTGGTTCACTACCGTGAGTATGGCTCTACAACACACCTGTGGTGTCTAGAGGCATTTCACACAACTGAATGCTTTTCATCACATGAAGGGTATTGAATGAAGTAGAAAAAAAGGTATCAAAAGAAGTACTCTATTGGTATCTATCAGCTTTAGGGTACTGGTATGTGACTTATTTGAATAATACCAAGTCCTAAGTAAAAGCCATACTTAAGAATGTTTAGCATGCTGATCTGCCAGATCCGCCAAGTACACCCCGCTTGACTTCACATCACAAATTGTATGGGTTGTAGCTACTGCGGCAGTTGGCCAATCACTTCGTCGCATTAAATCAAAGAAAGTTTTGGGTATTAGCTACAAGCAAAACTTTTTTTTTTCTAGATCGCTATACAAAAATAACAAATGCAGGTATCATTTGGCTGGAAAAGTTTTGGTACTACTACTTTGGTTCAAGGTTATTTCGGTCTATACCTTTAAGGTATTGAGTACTGACACCCAGCCCTACTGTGTACAGGAATTATTGATAGTTTTCAGTGGTAACTAGTTTCCTAGAGAGTCTGGAAGGCTCTGGGCTCCTCAGCACTTCGAATGTAAAAGCCAAGACTATGTGGTCTCAGAAAAAAATACCTCATATACTAGACAGGGACAATGACAAATAGTTAAAGCATTTTTCACCATCTACCTAGAAAGGGTCACAGTGTCAGCAGCAGCGTCTCCTTTGTCACAATCCAGCTCTTATAGGCCATGATAAAAGAGGGGAAATGCACACAGGTGTACTAGAGAGATAATTTCAGTCAACAGAACTTATAAACAATATGCTCACTAAATGTATGAAATGGTCAGTCAGCTGGTCTGTAGTGTGCTGAGTTGATGTATGAAAGTGTAACGTTGTATAGGTGGAAAATAAATTTAAGTGCAAATTAAAGTAACCAAAAAAGGAAAATGTGGCACCAAAGGAGAGCCAGTGACGGCTATCCTTTGCTACATGAAAGTAAAGAAAACAATAAATAATACAAATAGATCTCAGACAAAAGTTTTCCAAAGCTTATCAAGATTTAATTTTGGTTACAAACATATAGCAAATAACACACACACGCACACACAAAATGCATTCAAAAACTTGTTTAAGTGGATGCCGTATGTAATGAAAAAGACAAAAACATAAGAAAGACTAAGAATATAGAAATCCATTACCACGACTATAAGTATTCCTGTTTTTTTTTATTATTATTATTTCAATAGTTTTTTAGTCAAACATATCAGAAAAGTGAAGTCAGTCAAAATAAATATAAGTAGAGATAAACTAAATGGGCTTTTGCCCTGAATAAGCTCATAACATGGACGGTAGCTCTTACAAACAGCAGCTGGTTTTGCACAAAGAGTTCTGATGCATAGGCTGCTACACTGCAGCGCACCTGTATGTGCACAGGACAGCAGCTGTTTCATACAGTAGGTGATGCTGAGCAAAGCAAAAGCAAATCTGTGGTTCACAGATGTTCAGTGTCTCTCAGAATACCCACACAGCTACAGTACAACACAACGTAAAGATCATACAGGGATCTCTCAAGAAAAATCATGATTGGCATGAAATTTCAGTCATTCATAGATTTTCGATAACCGCTTATCCTGTCGGGGGTCGTGGGGGGGCTGGGGCCTATCCCAGCTGACATTGGGTGAGAGGCAGGGTACACCATGGACAGGTTGCCAGACTATGGCAGGGCTGACACATAGAGACAGACAACCATTCACACTCACATTCACACCTACGGACAATTTAGAGTCACCAATTAACCTGCATGTCTTTGGACTCTGGGAGGAAACCAGAGTACCTTGAGAAAATCCACACTGACACGGGGAGAACATGCAAACACCGCACAGCGAGGCTCCCTCACCCTGGGTTCCAAACCTGGAAACATCTTGCTGTGAGGTGACGATGCTAACCACTGCATCACCATGCATTACTACAACTCTGTGCAAGTCTTTTGATGACTTTAGTAAGTAGCTGTGTAATAAGCCAGCTAATGTACCCAAAGTAAGTAATCACTGCGAAATAAACTCCTTCAGGGTGATTCAAGACCCCTCCACTTTGCATCAGGGTCCTGCATCTCCCTGTCAACATTCATTCCATAGTAATAACTGTACATTATCTTATAGAATATCGGGAGAAGGCCTGGTAAGCAGCTCATAGAGGTTCTTCTGCTTTTCAAACCCAACTGGGCCAAAGCAACATTGCCTTGTGGCACCAGCCCACATTTTCTTTTTGCTCCTTGTTTGCTAATCCCGAATGAAACAAAGCAAACACTTTGCATGCAAAGCTTCAACTGTCAGTCATCCTGTAGACAGTTACAGATGAAATAGAGTCTCAAACCATGTCATATATCCTTTTGTATTGTGTTTGCGTGATTCAACTGGTGAATGATAGTCCATTCTATAATGTAACAGCATGATATTTCTTTACAGTTGAAATAAAACTCAATGGCAGTTTATCTGACGCTGTATGTACATGGAGCCAAAGGTTGGCAAGTAAACATCCTGCACCCGTTGGGGGTTTCTGTGATATTCTGCATGTTTGTTTACACAGAAACATGGACGAACGCAAATAGCAACTTGCCACGTTTCAAATGGGTCACAATGACGCATGAACACGAACAGAGAATTTTTTGTATCAGTTTGGTTTGGAAGCTGTCAACAAAAAGTAAAAGGCCTTGTATGTGCACCTGCTGGAGCTGAACCTTTTCCAACATGATCAGCGCTGCAGACTGAGTGGGTGTTTAGCATTCAGTCTGACACACACACACACACACACACACACACACACAAACCTGCTCTGTGCTACTGTTTTGCTCGAAATCATTCATTTATTCACAAAGTTCTTATTTTGATCAGATATTCTTCATCTTTAAAGGTTCTTATAAATACAAAACTTAATATTTGAATACACATGTCTCCACTTCTCTTATCTAATTGGTATTTCTTGTAATTGATTCCTTGAGCGATCGCATACAAAAATCAACAGATGAACATTAGATATGTACAAGATATTATACATAATGCAGTGCATAAAATCACATGAATTAACCTACTGTGGACGTCAAACCACAACTGAATGCACTATATTCTTACATTTTTGACTCAATCTAAAATCTTATAGTCTTTTTAACTAAGGCGTTCATAATGAGGACAGCTGGGAGACCAACCAGAGCACATTACATAATAGTGTGATAAATCATTGTTAACATTTCTATGTCGGTTGTAAGTAAGGGTTGTATAGTATACTAATAGTGCTTACAATAATTGCAAATGGTATTTGGACTAGGTTATTTAGAAGTATGGTGGGGTTTTTTCAGCCTCAGGTCAGACTTGAGCTGTGATCTCCAGT